AAACTGATAAATAATCAATGAGAATTAACTTTCAACCATTCAATGTCTTCAATTAACGTCAGTTACTTCACTTGATAACATCGCACGACCTTTGAACTTTCGGCTCCGGCAAATTTGGGCTCTGGAGAACTTGGGCTCGGGAGAGCTTGGGCTCGGGAGAGCTTGGGCTCCGGCAAATTTGGGCTCCGGCGAACTTGGGCTCGGGAGAGCTTGGGCTCCGGCAAATTTGGGCTCCGAGGAACTTGGGCTCGGGAGAGCTTGGGCTCCGGCAAATTTGGGCTCAGGAGAGCTTGGGCTCGGGAGAGCCTCAGCTCCGGCACATTTGGGCTCCGGAGAACTTGGGCTCGGGAGAGCTTGGGCTCGGGAGAGCTTGGGCTCCGAGCGACGAGCCCTTGGGCTCCGAGCGATGAGCCCTTGGGCTCGGGAGGGCTTGGCCTCCGGCAAATTTGAGCTCCGGAGAACTTGGGCTCGGGAGAGCTTGTGCTCCGACGAGCCTTTGAATTTATTGCTCATTTAATGATTCCGGAAATGTCACCCAACATCAGCCCCCCAGTCCACGAGTGTCGCATGCCAAGCGAAGGGGACCAAAACTTGCCCATAAATTTTCTTTTGTTTTTTTTTTTAACCGAACATTGTTTTCCCCTTCCAACATACTATACATGTCAAAGATTTGATGAAGATTTTCTAAAATGTCTTTCCTTATTTGCGACAGGCTCACATCTGCAGAATCCATGAATATTCTAAACGTTTATGCAAATTTATTACCGAAAATCATCTCTCATTACTTTTCAATCTGAACAACTTCCCAATAAATTTAAATTGGAAAATCTTTAGCTGCTTCATCACTTGAAGAAAATTTTCCCACTTTGTGACGATTTCCAACATCCTGCTCAAAATTAGTAAGTTTCTAATTTTCTTTGAAACTTTTTCCTTTGAAATCTTTATTCTCACCTCTGACTTGGTAACTAACATTTCTTGCATGTGGATCTCTTCCTTTAATGTCCGAATGTTACCAGACTTTTGCCTTTTAAATATAGCTTTTTATTTTTTTTTATTTTTTTTATTTTATTTTTTTTTTTAACTTCTTCAATTGACGTCGCTGAGCTTCAATGTGAGCCCAAAAATAATACTTGCAATCTTTTCTTTTGATTTTCTTGGAAGTTATTCCCTCCTGGCGCTTTCCTTTTCTCTCCAAATGGGAAATTTTTGTACATTTCCACTTTTACTCCAAAGATAGCATAATGTGGATGGAACCACTAATTATGTTGCCTCTTTCTTTTTCAACATTTGCCCATTACGTGATCTTCTAATTCCTTTGAGAAAGGCCTCCCATGCTAACATAATCTCCTTGTATATGCCTCTATTGCATTTAACGTAAGGCACAAAAGAAGAAAGAAAGGTGCTGTAGAAAAAGAACAAAGGAAGGGCATCTTTGTGTGATTTTTACTATAAACTCCAGCGAATGGAGGCGAAAAATAACCCACACCATGATGATGTTGTTAACGGTTTAGCAGCAATGAAGACAGACGGCTCAAATGTTGTTTTAATGAACACCGGGCAGCCCCACAAACGCATCAAATTCCGTGCTAACCGAGTTTTTCGGGCTTCAAATGATGGAAATTCTTCTAATTCCTCTTCTTCTAGTGATTCTTTGTATATCCCCGAGACCAACGTTGAAGATAGACGCCAAAAAGTCAAAAGCACAACCTTGAAGTTCAAACTCGGCAAGACTAGAGATAGCGCCAAAGCTCATGAAGGTGGCAACACCAAAAATAAGCGGAAGAAGATTGACTCTCCTAAGAAAACGTTCGTGTCTGAGCCCAAGAATTCGCTTGCTTCCGACCCCAAAAATCCAGTTGGGGTAGATTCCGATGAAGACTCTTTACCGGCCGACAGGTCTTCAAAGACCATTCTCGATCAATCCGAGCCTGACTCAGAAGACTTACATAGCCATCTTACAATAGAAGACTTGGAGAGGATTCGTACCACTTATTGTATTCCTTCCAACATTTCACTTCGCCTCCCGACACAAAATGAAACTTTGAAATCCCCTCCGACAGATG